TAGCTTGTTGTTTCATGATGAGTGGGTGAGTTGCTGTGGGGAGAGTTAATTTGTGGTTTCAGGAGTGAGATTGTTGTATCTACCTATACATAGAGCAGATATCAAGAGTCATCAGAAAGTCACTTTTTGATTCATTCACACTTCAAATCAAGGAATATAATTCAGAAAATATCTTTCTGGGCTGTATCAATATCAAATGGGTGGTAAAAGGGAGTGTCTGTTAGATCATTTGAAGAACATATTTATTTATTTTTTCTTTTCAATTCTTCTGCAGTCAAACAATATCAACAGAGAAACATATTTAGATGAGCATGTTTTATTTCCAAAGTAGGTTGACCTGACCCACTCGCATCCTTATTCTGATACTTCTGTACCACTGGGAAATATTTCTCCTTCATGTTTCCTCAAGATTCACTCTGTTTTAGAAACCTCATCCAAAAGTCTTTTTTTATTTTTTTTGAATTTCTTGAATTTTATTCATTATTATCACCAGGTCCAATCAATGATCACCCAATGACAAGTGACATTAGGATACTGAATTGATTCAATTCAGTAGCCTCATATCACCTGTCATCAGGTGCTTATTGATTGGTCCTGGTGTGTGGAATTATTGTTTAGGTATCACAACAAAAGTTGAAAAATAAATTTATTGCATTCCATAATATTCTTTTACTTTTTATATCAATGTCTACTACATGGGGTGTGGTGTATTTGTGCTGTGACTCCTATATTTTTGGGGTTAAATAGAAAGTGAGTTTTTAAGTTAATTCACCAAATTGAACAACATTCAATTTGAAGCTCTACCAAATTTTAAAGCAAGACTCAGTCAAAACATTTTAAGCTCAGGCCAGAAAAAAACCAGAACCACACAGATTCCCCACAATTTTGAGGCTATAATTTTGAAAACTGATATATTTAATTAATTTCATTCTATTGGTGAGAATATATAACTGTGCACTATTCAGGGGAGTAGGGAGCCTGAGGGTCTCTCTTGAGTTAAATAGTTAAATATATTGCTGCAAAGAATAGAAAGAATAAAAAAAACACTCAACTGGGAGTATTACAAAATCAATGCAGTAGCACACAGCAGTTTATTTTGTGGAGATGCATCCTGTGCAACAGTGTTTTGGAGACAGGGAAAATATACACCTGCAACGGGTGTCCTATACACCCAAAGAGTAAATCTTAATTGTACCCTTCAAATTACATAGATTCCCAAACCTAAGTGGTTGGGGAGTTCCTCCAGAAGTTTTTTTAGAACCATTCATTTTTAATTTGAGAATGAATATTTATGGCTTCTTGACTACCATAAACCCACACTTGTGCACCTAAATCACCAGATGTGCAAAATTTATGACCTCAGAGACTATCTTCCCCCAGCAAAAATTGTTTTATTATTCCAATTTTTTATGCCACCCAGCATTTTGGACACAAACAAAATTAGTGGGAAGTGGAATTCCCGAAAAAAATGAAGTAGAAAGGAAATTATCCAGCTTTTCGTGACAACTTCTGAATTTTGGGAAAGTTCTATTTTCATGAACTGATATATTATTTTAGATCCAATTTCCATAAATACATGATGATATATATAGTAAATACATGATGATATATATAGTAAATACATGATGATATATATAGTAACATTAGAAAGGGAAATACCTTCTCCTAAAAATAAACCTGGAGATATTTCTTATCAGTAGAGGAGGACAGCTGACTCTTAAATGATTGATTCAAAGCATGAAGTAAATCTACTGGTTAAACCCAATAATCACCTGGCTCATTCAAAACCATTATTAAACTTTCTTAAGATCTTATTTATCTTACCCCATCTGAACATGAAATTTGGAGTTTAGGTGTGTGTGAAAAGGGGATAGTTAAGACTTGGGACAGACTAACGTAAAATAAATTTGGGTAGGTTTGATGATTGTATTCTCTATCATATAAAAGAGATTTCATGAAGATTTTAGAAAAATCTCTTCTGAAGGTTTAAAAATGTGGCTTTTCCATTGAATAAATCAAAGAGGAAATGTTTTTGTGTGGCTGCACCAATTATTGATTCTATATAAGCAGGTGATCTTCATTGAAGGAAATTATTGATTTCATAAAACTCAAGTTGATTAAATGATCCACAAAGCAGGATACTGCACCAGGGGACCATTTGGGCACTTGCATGGCAAGTGCCATCACAGAGGTGTTCCAATAGGTTAGGTTGGGAAATGGAAGTGTATTGAATGTTGGTTGTATCAAACCTGTATGTATGACTTGAAGAGGATGGTAAGTGTTCTGGAAATAATTGGTGTGTTTTTATGAAATATGTGTAAAACTTATGTTGAATTCAAGTTGATACCTCCTTGAACATTATCATGTCAAGTCCTGTCAACACAGCATAAAAAAATAATAAAGAAAAATGATTATAGAACCATAAAGATATCCAATATAAAATGGGCCTTGGGAAAACAACTCCCAGAATTTGGTCAAACAACTCCCAGGACGTAGCCAACGTCAAAATTGGGAGTCGTCCGCCCAATTCCATCCTGCTTCACGGGAGTTGTCGCGCTAAAACTCCAAAAACTTACAAAAATAGCAAAATATATATATATATATA